ATAGTAATACTATCTTTTATTTTTGTATTCTGCTGCTTTGACATCTGGGGCCTTGCAGACCCTGGAGAGACGGCCCTTCCAGGGTGAGCCAATTCCTAGAGACAGCAACTAACTCACCTGCAGCACATTTTTCAATATAAACCAAACCATCCAAAGCCCACACCCCAACCACCTCCTTCACTGGGCTCTCACACTCCAGGCCACTATCCACCAGCCCTAATCAGGTACCAAACAACTAGGGACCGCCCCTACACCCCGGAGCCCGCTGAAATGATCCAAACTAGCCAATCTAGGCCTGCTCACCCTGCCTCACCTGTTCCTTCCCACAGAAACCACAGCGAAGGCCCTTGTCCACAGTTCCCCCCTCCCTCTGCCTCCTGACCACCCCAGGTGCTTCTCCCTGTGGCTCCCCACGGTGGGGTGTGTGTCTCCTCTTGGGAACTGAGTAACAAACTATCTTTTCAGTCGCAATTGTCTCCTGATCTGTTGACCTTACTATACCTCCAATTTTCTGGTACTACACTATCTTTTAAAGGATCCCTCTAGACTGCAAGTAAAGCCAGCATCTTAATCATTTGGGGACAACTCGGATTCTGCACTTTTGGTGTTCAGTACTTTAAGTTTTATTTTACCAAGATTTAAGAATTTTTGAGCTAAATCACTGATTCACTCAAGAAACATTTATTGATGCCTTGTGTGTAGTAGGTATTGTGGAAGGCTCTGGGGAGAGGAGGAGGGGTTCACCACGTTCACAGGCAGGCTCCTGGTAGGATAGGGACTCAAAAAATATTTAAGAACAGAAGGAATGATTGAACGTCTTCACGGAGTTCACAAGCTAGAGCACATTAGTTGCTGGATCCCTGGTGTGTTCCCTTCATAAAATCATTGTCAATTTTGGGAGCTTTAAAATAGAACAAACAGATTTGTCTTGTTCTGTTCCGTTCGTTACATGACAAGCTATTCAGATTGGGAATCTAAAAAGTTATTCAATTTTTCCAAGTTATTACCAGATTTAATTGAGTTTTCTTTGGAATATCTTCACAAAAATACAGCCTAGCTATCCCTCAGAACAGCCTGAGGAAACTGTTGTTTTGGGAACAGAACATAAATATATTATTAATAATAATAGTGAACATCACCAAAGCAATCCTGAGAAAAAGAACAAAACTGGAGGCATCATACTCCCTGATCTCAAAATATACTACAAGCTATAGTAATCAAATAGCATGGCACTGGCAGAAAAAGACACACAGATCAATGGAACAGAACTGAGAGCCCAGAAATAAACCAACACATCTTTGGACAGCTAATTTTTGACAAAGGAGCCAAGAACATACAATGGAGAAAGGAAAGTCTCTTCAATAAATGGTGTTGGGAAAACTGGACAGCCACATGCAAAAGAATGAAAGTAGACCACTATCTTATACCACACACAAAAACTAACTCAAAATGCATTAAAGATATGAATGTAAGACCTGAAACCATAAAACTTCTGAAGAAAACATAGGCAGTAGGCTCTTTGATCTTAGTCTTTGCAATATCTTTTTGGAAATGTCTCCTCAGGCAAGAGAAACAGAAGAAAAAATAAAAAATGGGACTACATCAGACTAAAAAGCTCCTGCACAGCCAAGGAAACCATCAACAAAATGAAATGACAACCCACCAACTGGGAGAAGATACTTGCAAATCATATACCTGATAAGGAGTTAATATCCAAAATATATAAAGAACTCATACAACTCAACAACAAAAAAACAAACGACCTGATTATAAAATAGGCAGAGGATCTCAACAGACATTTTTCCAAAGAAGATACACAGATGGCCTACAGGTGCATAAAAAGATGTTAAACATCACTAATTATTAGGGAAATGCAAATCAAAACTATAATGAGGTATCACCTCACTCCAGTCAGAATGGCTATAATTACCAAGAGAAGAAATAACAAGTGTTGGAGAGGATGTGGAGAAAAGGGAACCTCACACTGCTGGTGGGAATGTAAATTGGTGCAGTCACTTTGGAAAACAGCATGGAGATTCCTCAGAAAATTAAGAATAGAACTAGCATATGACCCAGCTATTCCAATGCTGGATATTTATCCAAAGAACACAAAAAAAGGAATGAGTAAAGATATATGCACCCCTATGTGCATTGCAGCATTATTCACAATGGCTGACACTTGGAAACAACCTAAGTGCTCACTGACGGATGAATGGATAAAGAAGATGTGGTGTGTGTGTGTGTGTGTGTATATATATATACACAACCGAATACTATTCAGCCATAAGAAAATATGAAATCGTGCCACTTGCAACAACATGGACGGACCTTGAGGGTATTATGCTGAACAGAATAAGTCAGACAGAGAAAGCCAAATACCATATGATTTTAATCATATGTGGAAGATAAAACAACAAACAAACACATAGACGCAGAGAATAGATTGGTGGTTACCAGAGGGGAAGGGGGGTGGGAAAAGGACAAAAGGGGTAAAGAAGGACATTCATACAGTGATGGATGGAAACCAGACTTTTGGTGGTAAAAACGATGTAGTCTATACAGAAGTCGAAATACAATGATGTACCCCTAAATTTATATGTTATAAATCAATATTACCTCAATAAAATAATAATAATAATAATGGTGAACACTTATTGAACACTTAATATATGCCAGACTTTGTACCAAGCAAGGTGTATGCATTATTTTATCTAATAACAAAGCATGTGTATTATCATCCTTACTTTTCAGATGGAGAGACTGAAACTTGAAAAGGGTGAATAATTTGCTAAAATGTAGCTCAGCTAATAAAAGACAGCACCAGGATTTGAATCCAGGTGGTTACTTCAGAGTTACTCCAGAGTCTACTTGTTTAACAACTAATTCTAGATATGAGCTAAGACACTGTATACTTTCCTAAAGATGCATTGCTTAGACCCAGTCTTAAAGTCCATCAAATAATCTGGGCCAATCTTCATCCCAGGAGAAATCCTACCCATTTAAAATCCTGCTACTAAACCTACAATATTTGAGTACACCAGAATCTTTCTTCTTATTCATAGTTCATTAGAATTTGTTTCTAAGCTTGCTCTGCCTGACCACCACCCACAGGGGTCTAGTTGGTCCTATAGTAAAATGAGGTACTTTCTTAAAAGCACCAGAATAGTTTCTCTCCAAAAACACTCCATAAAGAGTGGTAAGCTTTAATAACTGCTTTCATTTGCAGCATGCATTTTAGGACTCAAGCTGTTATGAGAGTGAGTTCTCTGCCTCCTTGTTAGTGACTCTTTCTGAAGGAATTTAGTTAAAATCTCGTAAAATGACTGCCTGCCTTGGCTTTAATTAATCTTTCCATTTCCATTAGTCTGGTCTAACACATACCACAGAGGTCATCTCTAGACTCAATTTACTGCATTCAGGAAAAGCTTATTCCTCTGAGTAAGATAATTATGTCCTCATAGGCCAGGCATCGGGTGACACGTTACAGAGTTTACCACTTCAGTCACCATAAACCTCGGATATTTCTTCTCTTGACACACACTTGCGCGAAAGAAATTCATAGGACATCAGGTAAATCTCAGATCTGCTCTTTTGTTTCTCTCTGTGTATGGCTACAGAGTAAACAAAATTACCATAACAGGCAGACTGAACTCTTTTCTGGCGCCTTGAGTTTCCAAATTCCCAGGAGAAACCCCGAAAGCTACTCTCTTTTCCCCCTTGCATCCAAAGGAGAAATCCAGGAGTTGCTGAGTAAGGCTTCTGATCCTTTGCCAAGCCGCCAGCTTCCTGAGCCGCTAGTCGAGCGGTATTTAATACTTCTTTCTCAAAGACCCGCCCATCCCCAACCCAGCCTAGAGTAAAGCGAGAAGACACAGCCGAAGGCTCTCATTCATTCCACAGCAAGCATTTATTGAGTGCCTACTCCGTGCCTGAGTCGGTTCCGAGGCCTCGGAGAAACAGCAGTGAACTTGTATTCTGCTTATGACTGAGCAGCCGCGGGACAGTACTTGCCAGTGATTTCAAATTCCCGCCGGAAACAAACCAAGGCGCGGAGCATGTTAAACTCAGAATCTTAGACGTCAGGGTCGGAAAAAAACCCCAGAGTCCTTGGAGCCTTGCAGCTACCTGGGGCTCTGTCCCCTACATTTACCAAAAGAGAGTATTTAATATGAGCTGCGGGGAGGAGGTGTGCCCTCCTCATATTCATATGCAAAGTTTTGAGCGCGAGCATGCGCATTTTCTGGGGCCAGCCACTATAGGTTTCCTCGAAGTCTCAAGAAGGTCCGGGATCCCAAAACAATTAGAAGCCTTCCCTCAACACATCCACAGCTGGAAGAACCCAGGGGACTGCACTTGCAGTTTTGGGTAAAGGTCACTTTTTGAACCCAAAACTAATGCCTAGTAGACGTCACCTTGGCCGCGACAGCCGCTCGGCCGGTGCACACCCCGCCCAGTCCTTCCCATGCTTCAGAGCTGCGCGCACCAGCCAGCTTCGGGGTGGCTGCGAGGGGACCCACTGCCTTGGAAAGGGAGCGGGAAACACGCAGGTCTGGTGGGAAGGCGGCCTCGGTTCCCCGCAAGGAAATCACGCGCCTCTCCTCCGGACCTCCCTTGGGACGTCTCTAAGTTCTGGCCCAGACTGGTTCTCAGGGCCTTTCTGCCTGTGGCTGCAAAGTTCTCTGAGAGCAATAAACACACAGTTGCATCCGTTGGGCCTTTTCGGGACGAGACGGGTAGCCCCGCAGGTCCCTTCAGCGAGCGGCTGGGGAGCACACCTGCTCAGTTTACGGAGAGTGCGCGACCCGCACTTCCACACGCGCGCGGGGGGCACACCGCACCCAGGACACGCGCGCCGGGCGCACGGCCCGCACTTATTCACATGCACTTCACACGCAGCCGCACCTTTCCACACGCGCGCCGGCCCACACACCCGCGCCCGCGCGCACAAGGGCCGCGACTTCCGAGCGGAACTCGCGTGTGGGTCGCGCCCAGTACTTCACCGTCTGTCACCGTCGCGTCCGCCTCCTCCCCCGCCGGGTGCACCTCTAGCCGCAGAGATTGAGGGTGGGGGGCCGAGAGGGGCGCAGTCCCGCAGAGCTGCTCCTCGGTCACGAAGCGCAGTTGCACGCGGCACTGCAGGGGCGCGGGGACCCGGGCCGGAGCGGGGGCCGCAGCCATGGTGCGAGCGCCTGTGCCCAGAGCCCTAGTAGCGCCTCCTCCGCCGCGCGGCCGGCGCTCCAAGATCCTGCCAGGGGAAGGGGAGGGACTTGGAAGTGCTAGACACCTTCCTCACCTCCGCTGCAAGTTGAGTCCTCGACCTGTGGGACGCCCGCTGGCTCCTGCCAGCACCTGCCGCCCTCTGCATCTCTGCCACCGCCCCCTCCCCGCAGCGCGCTGGACCGCCGCGCCCCCCAACCGACAGGAGCGCGCGGTACGCGCCCGGATGGGCCAGCCGCCCGCGGGACGATAGCTCTGAACACAAGTTTGGAGAACGCGCGAGGCACCTGGAGGCCTTGGGGTTTGGAAGCAGAAGGGTGACACCTGCTGTTCGCTGGGACTGCTCTGCGGGCGTGGGCGCAGGGTGGAAACGACCCTGGCCCGGGCTCTCTGCTTCGTGGCACTCGCTCTCGGGGCAGTTCTGGGGCTACTGGCGCCCACGTGTGAGCAGCCGTCGCAAGTACCGAGCTCCTTCCTCCCTGTCAGGGTCCCCACAGCAGCAGCGAGGTGGTGCGGATGCCCGGGGATTTGTGCAACTGGCTAGGCCTGAATGACCACTTTCATCCCTCATCACTTAACCCGGAATTGAAAACTTGCTCCTGGACTGTGAACTGTTTCCCTAGACGTGGGCTGGAAGGGCCAGGGAGTCCTTTTTTATTATTGTTATTATTTTACCAGGGTCATTTTGGCTTACAACGTTGTGTAAGTTTCAGGTGTACATCACTGTATTTCAGTTTCTGTATAGTCTGCATCGTGTTCACCACCAACAGTCCAGGTTTTATCATCACCACATATATGTGCCCCTTTACCCCTTTCACCCTCTCCTGGACCCCCTTCCCCTCTGGTAACCACTAATCTCTTCTCCTTATCTATGTGTTTGTTTACCTTCCATATATGAGTGAAATCATACAGTATTTGGCTTCCTCTGTCTGACTTATTTTGCTCAGCGTAATACCCTCAAAGTCCATCCATGTTGTCACAAGTGGCATAATTTTGTCTTTTTTATGGCTGAGTAGTATTCCATTGTGTGTATATACACCACATCTTCTTTATCCATTTGTCCATTGGTGGGCACTTCAATAAAATGGGTATAGAAGGAAATCACCTCAACATAATAAAGGCCACATATGACAAACCCACAGCCAACATCATACTCAATGGTGAAAAACTGAAAGCTATTCCTCTGAGAACAAGGAACAAGACAAAGATGCCCACCTTTGTTCAACATAGTACCAGAAGTTTTAGCCAGAGCAATTAGGCAAGAAAAAGAAATAAAAGGGATCCAAATATGAAGGAAGTAAAACTGTCACTATTTGTGGGTGACATGATTCTATATATAGAAAACCCTAAAGAAGCCGCCAGGGTCTCTTGTTCCCAAGTTGACACCTCACTCCAGAAGCTACCTAACCTAGTCAGGTGGCTCCAGCATCAAAAGATGGAAACTCTAAACCCTGGGGAGCCAAATCACACCTTCTTAGTCTCCTGTGCCGAGAAATTGGTCTTCTGCTGCAGGGGGTTAAGAAAAGGAAGCAGTCCTTCTTTTGACGAGAGTTCCCCACAGTCATAGATTCCTGTGCCATCTAAGGACCTTTTCTTAAAATTCTGAGCCAACTTTTGTGCGTCCTTGGTCTGTGGCTTCCTGACAGAATGGATTGAGGAGAGGAAGCAAGGACTGTAAATTCATTCCATCAGGAGAATGTCCTTATTAACTAAGCAGGCTGACTTTATAAATATGAGCTTCTCTAGAAGCCCCAGGGTCTGTAACTTCAGAGTTTCTAGCTGGGACTCTTAAACCCACCCAGGCTTTATGAAGTCCCTGGTCTCATTTATCTCCCCCCTCACACCCCACCTTCCAGGGCTCCTGAAGTGGCCTCTGGATCCTCCCCTTATTCCCTCCCAAGGCTTTCCCTCCCCCTCCTCTTGCTCTTGTCTCTCTAGTATCTAAGGACCCTGCCATTCCTTCCTTTTATCTCATTCTCACTTCCTATTGCCTCATGGCTTTGATTTGTGACCTGGAAGCCCCTGGGAATCAGAGAATCTTTAAAGAGTTAGCACTGTGGAGAGGGTTTCAGGTGTGAAGGCCACAGAACACCTGCATCCTGCCCCCACCCACCCTGACCTCCTCACTGTGTCATTCTGCCTCTCCTGCTCCCAGCCTCCTCGAAGCATGTCTTGCCTTCTCCATTCCTTTTTTCCTTCCCAAGCCCTGCCTCAATGGCACTAAATACTATCATGGTACCCAAGACCCTCCAAAGTAGCAATTGGCCCTCTTTATCCTTCTGTCAAAAAGGCTGTTCAGCCTTCACATGCCGTCAGCTGTTAACTTGGAAAGTAAATCAGCGTAGAGGGGAGAAGGGGACAGATTTATACTAAAATGTGAATGATGGTTGAAAATAATTCATATGGCACTTCAAAAAGGGCAAGATCTTGACCTTAGTAGAATTCCCAACATACTCTCAAGAAACCTGGAGTTCTGTTACTTGGAACAAGCAAATAAAAAGGTTATAACAGTTTTTCCTCACATTAATGCAGGGGGAAGAAACCCAACTTAGGCTAATTTGAGCAAAAAAATCAAAATATTATGATTCACTACAAAGCTGGGAAGTCTGAGCTTTGGTCATGACTAGATTTAGGAACTCAATTAAGGTTGACCAGATGGTCTTGCCTCCTCCTTGCAGACAGGCCTTAGTCACATGCTGGAAGCAGTCACTGATTTACAGCCTTTCCACAAAGGCAAGGCTCCTTCTCCTCGAACTCCAAATCAGCTTGGGTCATTTGAAAATGACTGGCTTGCTGTGATGGGTCTACCCAACTTGTGGCTTAGACCAGGGAGACTGGAAGCTGACTAAATTCACATCATCTAAATGAGGGATGAGCAGATCACCAAAGGAAGGAGACAGCTGGGATGGCAAAGCAAGAAGTACTCATGACATCTGACCAGAGTGCTTGCTACATGCCTGGCCCTGTTCTAAGCACGTTACTTACATGAATTCATTTACTCCTCCCCACCGTCCTGGGAGAAGCATACTGTTGTAACCCTTGTTTTGACTGATGAGGAAACTAAGACACAAAGATTAACTAACTTGCCCAAAGTCACAGCTTAGAAGTAGCGTAAGTCCTCTGCAACAGTCAGACACAAAAGTAAGCCCATGAATAGCCCTTACTACCACTTCTCAAAGTTAGCAGCTAGTAGAATAATTCCTTAGTATTCCAATGGATACAGCTCAAGACCTTTAAGAGTCTCCAGAATTGGGAGCACAGAAATATTTCATACTTTCCACTGTCTTTCATCCTCCCAACCTCACACAGAAGGTTAAGAATTCCTTAGACTTCCCCTCCCTCAAGTGTTTCACCTCCTAGTTTTATCTACACATGAGCAGTCTTTGCCCTGGTGCCAGCACTAGCAGAAAGTTCCATGAATCATCTCTTCTTATTTACCAACTAAGTATAAGGTAGATTTGCTCACATCATCTATTTGAACCATCGCTGAATTCTACTTTCTGTCTTGAGTTTATCTCAAACTTCTATTTTCTGTCTAACAGCCATCACCTTCTTCCACCTCTTCGTTTCTGTCATCAGTACTTTCTTTTCAGGGCCACCAGACTTTTCTAAAAATCAGTTCAGGAGAGTTCCTGAGAGGACAGACAAGCTCCAGCCCGCAGTGGGATATTCACTGAGAGCAGCTGGGCAGACTTACCTGCTGAGTTCCAGTCTCTAGCCTGCCAGCCTCAGCATGTGCCAGGGGAGGCTGTGTTCTGCCAGCTGAATGAATTGAATGGAGGTCAGAGGATCGGTCTGGGGAAACCAAAGCCATGCTCCAGACTCTTTCCTCTTGCTCTCCTCTAGAAAGGACAAGTCCTCTCAGAAGTGAGGGGAGGTCCCCTGGCACATGGTTTCCCTGAGAGATCCCACCACTTCTACCTCCTGATGGGACTCTGTTGTCAGTATAGCATCAAAAGCATTGACTTTTTTCGTGTGTATGATCTGTGTCCAAAGCTTTGAGAGATGCTTTCTACCCTCTCCCTTCTCCAAGTAACACACAGAAAAGAACTTCTGGCCAACCTCATTGGCTGTAGCCTCTGGCAGCAAGCTCAGCTCAGCTTCAGCATCAGAAGGGACATTATCAGACCAGTGCTGAGCCGAGAAAGAGAAAGGAGCACCAAAACTGGTTGCATACCTGGGTGAGCATATGCCCCTTTGTCTATCTCCTGCCTTCCCCAAGGAGCAGCCTGATCTGTTAATGGATGATGATTCAATAGCTGAAGTCTAACCCAGGCTCTTCTACCCCTGAGGAGCTCTCCCTTGGCCTGTAGCGGATCTCACCTCCTGGTCCAGACCTTGCTTCAGAGAGACTCAGACCAGAGAGCCCTCCTGTTCCCCCGCCTGATTTCACAGTGCATTATCCTCAGCAATGGCAGCCACGCTACTGATCATGGTATTCTACAGAAAAAAAACCTGTGCCTCAGCCACATAACAAATTTCTACACATCATGAAGCTTTTGGTGTCACTCACAAGTAATTAAAACAGAATATAATAATCTGCATGTAATCTAGCCCATCAAATAGAGTTGATTCTCATTATTTGCAGATTCTACATTTGTGAATTCACCTGCTTGTTAAAATTTATTCATAACCCTCAAATCAATACTAGCAGTGTTTTCACGGTCATTGGCAGACACGTGTGGGTTGGTGAAAAGTTTGAATCACCCGATGTGCACATTCCCAGCTGAGGCTGAACAAGGGGACGCTCTGCCTTCTTGTTTCAGCTCTCATCTTGTAAACAAGTGTCTTTGTTGCAGTCTATTTAGTGCCACGTTTTTCTCATTTTTTGTGATTTGTTGGTGATTGCAACCCCAAGCGTAGCGCTGTCCGGTGTTCCTAAGTGCAAGATGGTCATGATGTGTCTTACAGAGGAAGTACATTGTTTAGAAAAGCTTTGTTCAGGCATGAGTTATGGTGCTGGTGGCTGTGAGCTCAATGTTAATGAATCAATAATGTGTATTAAATAAGATGTCTTTAAACAGAAATGCATAAATTGTTTTATACATAAAACAAGGTTATGCATTGATTGGCTGATGGAAATGTGACC